CCGATCCATGCCATATGATGCGGTTATACGTTATCAGAGCACTTCTCGAGGAGATTGGGAGGACGCGTTTATCACGCTGGTACGACCCGATCAGGTGGATCCCGAAGGAGGATGCGGTGAACTAGCTACAGCCACTTCTTCGGAAACCAGGATTCCATTCTCCCTTCCTGATCGCAGCCGTCAGGTGGTCGCTTTGAATGAAGTATGCTTGGAAGCGGGAAAGGTCTATAAATTCCGAATTTACTTTGAGCGGAAGCGGCACGATGTGGACAGTCCCACAGCCACGATCTTGGTGGATTCTCTGACCCTCATTCCCCGCATCGATGTAACGCCCATCCTCCAAGGTTCTGTCCTGGCCGACATACGCAAAAAAGATTATGAGAAATTCAATTGCAAATCCTCTTTGTACGATATGAACTACAAGTCCGATCCTAAATGTCAGAACCTTGACAATATCCTCAGTGTGTTTGTCCACGACGGAGCCAGCATGTGTAACTGCAATCCCACCGGTTCGCTCAGCAAGGAGTGCGAATCCAACGGAGGACACTGCCAATGTAAGCCCAATGTGGTGGGCAGGCAGTGCGATCTGTGTGCTCCGGGCACCTATGGTTTTGGTCCCGAAGGTTGCAAGGCGTGCGATTGTAACAGCATTGGATCGAAGGATAACAACTGCGACGTGATCACCGGCCAGTGCCAGTGTGTGCCAAATACTTACGGCAGGGAGTGTAATCAGTGCCAGCCGGGCTATTGGAAGTTCCCCGAGTGCCAAGTGTGCCAGTGCAATGGCCATGCCGCCACGTGTGATCCCATTCAAGGAACCTGTATAGATTGTCAGGTAAGGGTGCCAGAAATGGTTTATAAAGTGGAACAATTATGTTTTGATCTTGATTATACCTACTTAACACACTCTTTAAACTGGTTTCTCTTACCACCAGGACTCGACCACGGGCTATAGCTGCGAGAGCTGTCTGGACGGTTACTACGGAAACCCGCTGTTCGGCAGTGAGATCGGATGTCGAGCATGCCGCTGCCCGGAGACGGTGGCCAGTGGCATGGCCCACGCAGATGGCTGCTCCCTGGACACGCGAAACAACAACATGCTGTGCCACTGCCAGGAAGGATATTCTGGCCCACGTTGCGAGATATGTGCGGACAACTTCTTCGGCAATCCGGACAACGGTGGAACCTGCTCCAAGTGCGAGTGTAGCAACAATGTTGATCTTTATGACACTGGCAACTGCGATCGGCAGACGGGCGCTTGTCTGAAGTGCTTGTATCAGACGACTGGCGATCACTGCGAGCTGTGCAAGGATGGATTCTTTGGTGACGCACTGCAGCAGAATTGCCAGCAGTGCGACTGCGATTTCCTCGGAACGAATAACACCATAGCTCACTGCGATCGTTATACCGGCCAGTGTCCCTGCTTGCCGAATGTGCAGGGTGTGCGTTGCGATCAGTGTGCCGAGAACCACTGGAAGATTGCCTCCGGCGAGGGATGCGAAAGCTGCAACTGCGATCCGATTGGAGCTCTCCATGAACAGTGTAACTCCTACACCGGACAATGCCAATGCAAGCCAGGATTTGGCGGCAGGGCCTGTAATCAGTGCCAGGCTCATTACTGGGGCAATCCCAACGAGAAGTGCCAGCCGTGCGAGTGTGACCAATTTGGAGCTGCTGATTACCAGTGCGACCGAGAGACGGGCAATTGTGTCTGCCACGAGGGAATCGGGGGCTACAAGTGTAACGAGTGCGCCAGGGGCTACATTGGTCAGTTCCCACACTGTTCACCTTGTGGTGAATGCTTCAACAACTGGGATTTGATCCTAAGTGCCCTTGAGGATGCAACAACCGCCACTATCCTACGGGCCAAGGAAATCAAGCAAGTGGGAGCCACAGGAGCCTACACGTCCGAGTTCAGTGAACTGGATAAGAAATTGCAACACATTAGGAATCTGCTGCAGAACACATCAGTCAGTTTGGTTGATATAGAGAAACTGGATCAAGAAACCCAATCCCTCAGGGACCAACTTCAGGCGTCCCATGGCCGATTAAGTGAAACCGAGCTGAGCCTGGACCATATATACAATTCGCTGAGTTTGTCGGGCGTGGAGCTTGAGAGTCTGCAAAATCATTCCAGATTGGTGCAACAATTGTCCAAAGAACTGAAGGAGAACGGCATACAACTACAGGAGTCAAATATCGAGGGAGCTTTGAACCTCACCCGCCACGCCTACGAAAGAGTCAGCAATTTGTCGACCCTTAAAGACGAGGCCAATGAACAAGCCTCGAACACCGATAGGAATTGCAAGAGAGTCGAAAACCTGTCTAATAAGATCCAAGCCGAAGCCGATGACCTGGCAAACAATGGCAAGCTCATCGCAGACTACCGAGTAGAGTTGGCTTCCCTAACCTCCCAAATTCCCGTGCTGAACAATCAGGTTTGCGGCAAACCAGGCGATCCCTGTGATAGTTTGTGCGGAGGTGCTGGATGCGGTCATTGTGGCGGTTTTCTGTCCTGCGAGCATGGCGCCAAAACCCACTCGGAAGAAGCCCTTAAGGTGGCCAAGGATGCCGAATTGGCCATTACCAGTAAGAAGGACCAGGCGGATCAAATCATCAGGGCCCTAACCCAGGCCAAGCTGAATGCCTCCGAGGCCTATGAGAAGGCCAAGCGAGGATTCGAGCAATCCGAACGTTATCTGAACCAAACCAATGCCAATATCAAGCTCGCTGAAAACCTATTCTCAGCCCTCAATAATTTCCAGGAGAACAAGACAGCTTCTCCTTCGGAGAGCAAAGAAGTGGCACAGAAAACTCTCGACTTGGACCTGAAACTGGAACCCGAGGAGATTGAGTCGCTAGGTGACCAGATCAACAGGGCTGTCTCATCGCTGAAGGATGTTGAAGCTATCATTTACAGGACCAAGCCCGATTTGGACAGGGTCAATAATCTGCAGAGCATTGCCAATGCCACAAAGGAGAAAGCCGATAAGATCCTGGACTCTGCCAATTCTGTAGTGGAAAGCCTGGCGGCGGCAGATGAATCCCAGGCTAAGGCCAAGGATGCCATTCAGCAGGCGAACAGCAACATTGAGTTAGCCGGTCAGGATCTGGAGAAGATCGATGAGGAAACGTATTCCGCCGAAGCTCCAGCTAATAACACAGCCCAGCAGGTTGAGAAATTGGCCAAGAAGGTGCAGAAACTGCAGAATAATATAATAAAGAACGATCGGGATGCCAAGGAGATTACCAAGGAGGCGAATAGCGTTAAACTGGAGGCCATGAGGGCTCGAGGAGAGGCCAACAATCTTCAGTCGGCCACAAGTGCCACCAATCAGACCCTCACCGACCGAGCTAGTCGCTCGGAAAATGCCAGGGAGAGGGCCAAGCAGCTGCTCCAAAGGGCCTCCAAGCTAACCGTCGACACGAACGCCAAGCTGAAGGATCTGAACGATCTGCAGACCGTCTATCTGAACAAGAACCAAGAACTGCTGCGATTGCAGGACGAGATTGGCCCCTTGAACAAGGTGCTCAACGAGCACCTGATTCACATCAAGGAGCGGGGGTCGCACTACAGGCAGTGCTAATTGTAGATCCGGAAACGTAAGCAATCGTCATGTTCTTATACTACTATTTTTAAAAGTACTAACATCAACATCATACTAAACCCTTAGAACTCCTTACACACTAAATAAATTGTTCAATCATTAAATACTATGCATTTTTAAAGTCAGACCTAAATTATAGAAATTTATTTATATCTTGAATTAAATTTAGTATGTATTTTTTTCCAAAAAGTAAAATGCCCCGTTAGTTCCCCCGTTATATGTAATCAGCTTTTTAATGCTTAGAAATTAGTTTGTTTTATACATTTTAAACCATTATTTTCTTTAATATTTTTAGCTAATATTTCCTTTTTTCAGATCCATCTGCACGGCCATCTAAATTGCCATATTCATGAACTAATAAGCAAACTGCGAATTACGAGAATCAAGTGAACAACTACAAGAACAACTAGGAAGGCGACAGTTATTATGTAACCACTGTTAAGTTACCGTTACGTTTTGTACTCTAAGCGAAAACCAACACTGCAATGTTAATTTTAAAAATTGAGCGAAAGAAATCGATGCCTTCACTTTTAATGTGTACACACTGAGCTAAGTTTTTCTTATACTATCCCTATACCATTTTGTAATGCAATTAATGTAATTAAATAAAACTACTTAAATGTGGAAATGTCTGGCATTTGTCTTGGTTCGATCGGGAGAGGAATGAGATGGACGCTTAAATGGAGAGCGACAGGTGAGAGTATTTTGGTAGCACAGTTTTACTTCCCTACCATAAATCCTTTTTCGCTGAAAACCATGGAGTAATGGTTATACAAATTGCTAAAATCATATGCAATGTAGTTACATCAAAAAAAGTTATATTATTTACAAAACTTGTCTCAAGCAATATTAATAAATAGAAAATTAAATATGTATTTAATTTTAGATGAGCTTGCACAAATAATTTAAAAAGAAAAATTGCTAGAAATAGAATTAATGTATTTGAGGGTATTTGAGGTAAAATATATACAAAAAATCGCTCGAAGCATATTTCACTGTACTTCGATTTGTATAGTATTGGTACCTTTGCTGCCATAAACATTGCCATTTTATTCCATTTTCTGTTTTGTTTTAGTTCTTCTGCGCGTCGCGTGCGTCTTGTTTTTGTTTTTAATTTTAGTCCAATTAATTTGCCATAATATTTTTCGTGGCCAGAGGTGTAATTTTTTGAAAAACCGGAAGCTGTTACAAATGGATCACCGTTACAGAAGATCGTTAAGGAGCTCAGCAGGTATTTAACAACAATTAAAAGATTAATAATGCAGTTGGCACAGTTGCAGAGAAGCCCACTTCAAGCACAAAGGTCAAGGTAATGAAAAGTGTGCGGAATAATGTTTATAATCATGACATTTTTAGTTTTCCCTCCCTGTCTGCTCGAAAATCACTAGTTTTGCGTGAAAAGAGTACCTCTGCTGACTATCGATTAGAGCTATCGCCCCTATCGATATATCAAAAGGTCATAAATTTCAGCTGAAATCTCAACAAGTGCAAGATTCGAGCTCTGCTTTAATTAAACGCAGCCGTGTCGCCGATCAAATCGGCATTGTTTGGATCGATTTTCATATTGCAGTGCGTGAAAATATTCATATTTTTATTTATTTATTGCGACATCTGTGCGGCCACTTACACGCACACAAACGCGGTTGACAGATGTGCGACGTGCACACGTATAAAGAGCACACACTCACACACGCACGCATTGCGGATGTTCTGATTTTATGCAAGAAACTGAGTTTATTTTTAAAATAAGAAGAACATCCGAAAATATAATGCCAAAGAAAGGCGACGGGCGAGCGACGAAAGAGCGTGTGTAAGCGCAGAAAAAAGGGACACGGCGAAAAGGAACGGGGACGAACGACAAAAGAAATAACGGGAACATCGGTGGCGGTGGAAAATTCTGAAAATAAGAAAATCAAAACAAAAGCAAATTAAAACGACGTCTGACGTGCAGCTTCAAGTGCTTTTCCCCCAGAGTACGTTTTCCCCTAATGTACTGGGTTTTTCATATTGCCAGCAATCTGCAATCTTTCCCATTCAATTGAGGCCGCGTCGGAATCTGCATAAGTGCATCGAAGAAAAGTGCAGAATTATAAAAATTCTGAACTCGAAATCAATAATTTCATAAATTTTTGCTGAAACGTGGTTAAAGCTCTAAAGTTGGCAAATATTTAATTCAGTTCAAAGTTGTTGTAAAAAAATATTTTAGTTATATTAATTTGTTACAAAAATATATGTGTTAAAAGAAATTGTTTTCGTTAAATAATCCGATTCAATTTAAATTATAAACGAAAAAGTAAGACATTTTTTAATATGGTCAAAACTTGAGAAACGTTGAAAATAAATAACCTAAATATAGGTAAACATAAAACATGTTTTTCGAAATGATCTTAAGCAGAGTTCTTTGAAACCATAAAAAAATATAAAATGCTCAGACATTGAACAATGTGAAATTATATTACTTCCGATTCCGTCCGAGTCTGAGAGAATTTAAACGGGAAAGTCTTGCATATTAAATGCCGAACCCCTTTGTTGTTTATTTTAATTTCGTTTTTTATTCCATGCATATATGTATGTATGTACATACACACATTAACATTCACGGCTGACAGTTTCGCATGCGATTCACTTGAAAAACATTGACAGAGCAGAAATCAAGCGCCAGCAGAGAATACAGATTGCCCGGCATTTCCCATGGACGACGAACTGGAAGACAAGGTGTTCTATCAGACATACGTATCGCACATGAAAATCCTGTCCAAATTTGCGGTGGGCTTCTCGTCCATCAATTCCCCGCTGGCCTACATATGGAAGCTGTGCCGACTGTATGTCCTCCGGCCGGAGGTCATCTTCTGCGGCTTGATCCTCTTCGTCCTGTTGCTCTATTTGCAAGCGGTAGATGTGTGGAGTCGCAGCATCCTGGGACGCATCCAGGCCACCCTCGGTCGCCAGAAGGCCGCCAAGCTGATGGAGCTCTCGGCCAGTGCTGGTGATCACCAGAGCTGGGAGGAGTTGAAGCAACAGAGCTCCGCTTTCGCGGTTCTGGGGCGAAGGCCTCGAATGGAGGATAGGTTCGTATGCAGTCGGATGTCACCTTTTAACTTTTTACTGTAGCATTAAATTAATTGAAATATACTAGAAAATTCGACATTTTGGCATTTACAAGTTGACTAACAGTGTTTTATTAGATTTAAATGATCTAATCATGAATAAATTCTTGGCACCACTTTGACGTTCCTTAAATAGTATTGCAACACTTTATAGCTTTATAAATCTTTTCCATATGTCAAACTTAGACGGGATAATTTCTTTTGCGACATCTCCATTCAAATGTACATTGTCTTAACACTTTTATTTACGTTTCAGATTTATTGTCGAGGAGAACATCAACAACAACACTGGCATCTCCTTTTTTGCTGTATTCGACGGCCATGGCGGCGAGTTTGCCGCAGACTTCGCCAAGGATGTGCTGGTGAAGAACATCTACCATAAGATCATCGAGATGTCCAAGCTGCTGAAGACGGAAGGATATTCCGGAGATTACGATAAGAGTCCCTATTTAGCGCGCAAGCAGAGTCGCAAGGAATCGAACAAGGAGAACACAGAACCCACGGCAGCGGTGATGCGTAAGGACAGTCTAAGGAAGGCCCATAGCACCACGGCGGATTGCAGCGCTATTAAACAAAAGACAACCGAGGCATCGATTGCCGACATTTACACAGTCCAATTGAACTCGGCGATGAGAGCCAGCGGGAATATGGGAGCCGCTAAGGAGTCCTTCCTGAACAACAACAACAACGCACAAAGCGGAGCAGGCAGTGCGCCACCTCCAAACTACGAAGCCAAGTGCTACATCGAAAACGGACGTATTAACTTCGGGAAACTAATCACGGACGAGATCATGTCGGCCGACTACAAGCTTGTGGAGCAGGCCAAGAGAGCGGTAAGGGATCATTCTCTACTTATTCCTTTGATACCATTCTAACTGGTCTTACTTCCAGACCAACATTGCGGGAACCACCGCTTTAATAGCCATAGTCCAAGGCTCCAAGCTGATTGTGGCCAATGTGGGTGATTCCCGCGGCGTCATGTACGACTGGCGAGGAATTGCGATCCCGCTTTCCTTCGATCACAAGCCGCAACAAGTGCGAGAACGAAAGAGGATCCACGATGCAGGCGGATTCATCGCCTTCCGTGGCGTTTGGCGCGTGGCCGGCGTGTTGGCCACGTCACGCGCTCTAGGAGACTATCCGCTTAAAGATAAGGTGGGAAATGGGATGAGCCCAACGAGTTACTAACGAAGCTAATCTCGACATTATTTTTAACCACACGCTTACAGAATCTTGTGATTGCTACGCCAGACATTTTGACCTTCGAACTAAACGATCACAAGTGAGTGAAGCCATTTTCAATACAATGCAAACGACAATTTTACAATTGATAATGAAATACTTTCTTCTAGACCCCACTTTCTGATACTGGCCTCCGATGGCCTCTGGGACACGTTCAGCAACGAGGAGGCCTGCACCTTTGTCCAGGAGCATCTGAAAGAGCCAGACTTTGGCGCCAAATCTCTTGCCATGGAGTCCTATAAACGTGGTTCCGTGGACAACATCACCGTGCTGGTGATCGTCTTCAAGAACGATGTCTACAAGATTGGCAGCTCAGCGGGAAGGGCGGGAGAAGAATCCCTAAAAGTCCCAGCCAAACCTCAACCAGTTGCGCCTGCAGTTGTGCAACGCTCGAATTCAATCAAAACCAAATGAAAACCGAAACATTAGAGTGCCTGTTAAGAAATGCTCTTCAGCTTTTCTCCGAAAAATTTCCTTCTCCCCAAAACAAAACAAACAAAAGTGCCCGAAATTTTCTAGTTAGGCATTTTGCTAAATACTTTTTGACCTTTTGTTACTTGTCCAAAGACAGCGTTCATTCATCCCATCACAGACATGCATTCATCATTCGTTTCATCAATTGCGTTTTTCATTTGTCTTAATATTAAGGTTGTTTGTTAGTCAATGTTGTTTTGTATAAACAAAATATGTATGCATCCGCCGCCACATTGCCGTGCACTCTGTTTTCCCACTGTTTTGCACACGAAAATCATCACAATCACTGACTCAGTCAGGGAAACATCATCACGTAACTATTTATTTAATTTATTTGTTATACGTGTAAAATAAAACCTTTTCTAAATGTCGAAATGTTTTTGCGAATAAAACAATGCATATGAAACTCGACAATTCCGTTTTGCTACTTAAATATTTGACCTTTAGTAAATATTAACAATTATTTTAGGTCCAAAAATGATGAACTTCATGCATAGTTCCATTTCTAATTTGGAAAGAAATAAGTTCCAATTTTAAGATTGAAGGCACCACTGCGATCGATGTTTTGCTGAGAAAACCACAATTAAACAACTATTCTTTGTTTTCTTTATTAACTTTTACAATTTCTGCCTAAACTAAAATGTCCCACTGTTTGTACTATCCCAATCTATTCGGAGGAATCTCTAGAACCCAATGCTAAAACTAATTCAGCCACTACAAGATACACAAATTTGAGTTAAGGACGCTTAAATTTTATTTTTGTTTCAGCTAAACAAATAATTTGGCGCCCGTTACAAAAGTCAGTAGCTTAGTGAGCCGAAACAGACACCTGCCAGACGCGGATGGTGTTGTCGGAGTAGCCGGCGAACAGAGTCTGGCCGTCGGTGGACCAGGCCAGGGACAGGCACTGGGGCTGTTCAGCCGGTACCGTGGGAGTGACGACCTCGGGGCGCAGCTCCTCGACGGTCTTCTTGCAAGCCAGATCCCAGATCTTGATCGAGGGTCCGTAGGCCACGCACAGCCAGTAGCGGTTGGGCGAGAAGCACAGGGCGTTGATGATGTCGTTGTGCTCCAGGGTGTACAGGTTCTTGCCGTCATTGAGGTCCCACAGTAGGGCCTTGGAGTCCTTGCCACCGGAGGTGCACAGGGAGCCGTCGGGAGAGACGGTCACGGTGTTCAGGTAGCCGTTGTGGCCGTGATGGTTGTTCTTCAACTTGCAGTTAGCCAAGTTCCAGACCTTGACGGTGCGATCCCAGCCGCAGGACACGATGATTGGGTTGGAGTGGTTGGGCGAGAAGCGCACGCACGACACCCAGTCGGTGTGGCCATCCTCCTGGATGGTGAACTTGCACTCAGCCAGGGTGTTCCACAGCTTGATGGTCTTGTCCCGGGAGCCGGACACGATCTGACGGTTATCGGCCGAGAAGGCAACCGACAAAACGTCCTAGAAAGCGAACAAGCATTTGGCGATTAGCTCAAGGTATTGGTATGCAGTTAATGATAATAAGATTACATTTACTGGACTTATCACTGGCCAACAGAACGCAAAATCACATTTCACAGCTGTAGAAATTTAATATTCAACAAACAAATATCAAAATTATATCATTACTTGATTGAAACTCAAAATGGTTCTGAATAAAGAGTTGAAATAAACATATGGATACTATAAACTTCAACTACAACTTAATGTGCATTGTCTCAACCAAATCAGTCAGTGAACCAATCCAGATGGGTATTTAGGTACTTAATTACGGATCAATGGGTATCAGAGATTGTTTGCCTACTTACGATAGAGCTTCAAGCAATTTAACGCCGAGACTCGGAGCGAAGGGAGAAGCGTACGTACAGATGTCAACCAGAATTTCTGCCTCGCATAGGCGCAATAAATATATATTTTTTCGATTTGTACGCGGCAAAGGCGGGCCTAACCTCACTCCTAACCTTACATTCAGCCATTTGCCGGTACAGATCGGGTATTTGTGGTTGGAAAATCTCAGTTCCCTGAACGAACTAAATGCAATTGGAATCTTATCCCACCTTGGTGTGTCCCTCGAAGCGACGGGTGGTCTTGCCGGCGGCCAAATCCCACAGGCGAAGGGTCTGATCCCAGGATCCGGACAGGGCGTAGTTGCCATCGGAGGACAGCACCACGTCGCTGATGAAGTGCGAGTGTCCGTAGAGACGCTTCTGGGGGTAGCCGTAGTTGGTGTGCTCGTCGCGGGTCAGCTTCCACACGATCAGGGTCTTGTCTGCGAATCGGGATGGGGGCCATTAATATATGTACACATGCACGTGTTGCAAAAGAAATCCAACTATTTTCGGGGCGAATACTCACCACGGGAGGCCGAGATGATGGTGTCGGGATCCTTGGGGTTGGTGGCGATCTGGGTGACCCATCCATTGTGGCCAATGAGGGTACCGCGCAATTGCAGGGTCTCGGACATCTTGAGTTTATATTATTTGCTACGGAGCGCGGAGGAAACACGTCCAAAGGCGCTGCAAGCTGGCAGAAAAAGAGGCAGTTCCGGTTCCAGTGCTCGATAAGATGCCAACTGTCAGCGCGCGCGCAGTGTTGGTCAGGTCAAAACTATCGATAGCTGTAATGTTCTGGTACAAAAAATACGTATAAAATATATTGCTAAATATGAATATACAACACCTGAACCTTTAAGAATAAAAACAACTGAATAGCTTAAAATTCATCATGTATTGTTATTTTTAATATTGCGAGGTTTAAACCTCTTCAATACATACATACTTCAAAAACGGGAAATATATGTGCGATCTGTTCAGACCGTTTCTGTGTTTTTCTTGCTATTATAAAAATTATATCTAAGTCAATTATATACTCAAAAACTATGCGTCTTTTTATGGTGTGCAAATAACTAGCTTTGTTAGTGGCTGCTTGAAAAGTTTTTAATACAATCCCAATTTCGTGTATCCCGATTTCCAGTTTTCTCACTTTAAATTTGCCAGTATCACGAACAAAAAACGCTAGTGAATAAAATCCTCCTGAATTCGTTGGTATTTTTCTGGAAACGTCAAGCACGCATCGCTAATCGATACACACACGACGCCTCGCGTTTCCACCGTTCCGCAGCTATCGGCAAACGGTCACACCGAGGGCAGTCTTTCCCTTCGTATATCGTGTCGTCGTCTCTTTGTGAACAAAAAATACGAGGAAAATCGCCCAAATCGAGTTGATTCGACTGGGCATTAGCAATTGTGTGGCGATAAACAAGTGAACACGCGACTGGCAATCGAACGCAACGATAGTTGCTCATTTTCCTACACCCCTGAGTTACAATAAAAGCCGTCAAAATTGAATCGACAAAGATTGACGAGACTTTTTCTTCCACCACAACTGCGATGGAGGATAAAGCAACAACAAAAGATCTTGATCAATGGATTGAGCAGTTAAACGAATGCAATCAGTTGACAGAGACACAAGTTCGCACCCTCTGCGACAAGGTAAGGCCCGGTCCTTGCCCATTTTCCCCATGCGAATTAGGAGATGTTATAAAAATAATTTTCGTCATTGCATGCGAGTGAGCGATTTTTTTTTTTGCAAATGGTGCTCCGCTACTGCGTGCCGTCCGCCCTCTCGCTCTTTCCAATGGGAAGAAGCGCTGAGCGGAGAACGCGAGAGCATGATTCATGTCGTACCCTCTTGCTCACGCAGTAGCGGCGGCTTGCGTCGCCATATTGGAATATTGGTAAATTCCAACGGCCAAGCGCCGCATTGCTGCGCACAAGTGCGAGCGGGACAACTGGACCAGCAAGTGCGCGCGCGAATGCGACAGCTAGAACAGCGCTTTGGTCTAATGGGCTAAACCTGGGCAAAAAGAGATATTTCTTTTTGTATTATTGTACAATTCAATTGTTTAACTATAATGCATTGTGCGTGTTTGTTGTTGTTCTTGTGTCCGCTGGAAACTGTCAACACCCCCGCTCCGTGAGTCCCCATGTGCGTTTCGTCGTTTTTGCTAAGTAAATATTACTTAATGTTTTTGTGCGTCGGTGTGTGCGCGCCCCTAGAATATGTATCTATGTACCGTCGTATCTCGATTCAAGAATAATGCAATTGCATTGGTGTTTGTGCTCCGTTTTTTATTCCCAACCATATTCAATAAAACACTTTTGATATCAATTGTTTTTAATTTGTGGATTTTACCGTTCATCAGGCGCGTCGCGCACACAAACAAACAGACAAGCGAAAAAGAGTGTACGAGAGAGAGAGAGAATTAGAGGGCGAACAGATAACGATTCATTGATTTGGGAGTAAGTGGGGTTATGTTTGCGTCACCCAAATATTTGTCAGTGTTCCCATTAGAATCTTGAATCTCCGTTCTCCGCCCCAAAAGAACGTTCTTCGCTCTCCTCGGGTGCGTCTTCTGCGGCCTCTCTCCATCCTTCCCGTTGCTTCGAAAAGAAAAGCGGAGAGTACGCGAAGAGCGCACCAGCTGCATATGTGTTTGTGCTTGCATCTGTATGGGTGCGCTGGCCTCGTCATGAGTTCAAAAATTATTTATTTTCTTTTTTTCGATTTCTGACCAAGCGGAAGCAACAGCCTCCAAGGTAATGTGCATATAGCAAAAAATCTAATTGGCTCACGCACAACTTCTCTCATTTGCGCCGCCAGATTCACCGGATTTTACCCCCGGAACTTGTCATGTCCCATTTCGTCAGCTGATAAATATGAAAAATTCGCAAAGAACACGGCGGATGGTCAAAATAAATGTGCAAATTTTGTTTGCTCAACTTGGCACATTTATGTTTGTGAAAACCGGTTTTCTTCTGATGCTGTATACTGCAGCCCAGCGGCCTTCATATTTTAAGTTTTCCCCTAAAACAGTACTATCCTGCATATTTTCTTTAAAGTTGACAAATTGATATAAGGTATTATGATGATTTATTGCAATAATTACTGAAGTGATATTCAGTCAATAATTCACAGCTGCTTACCTTTAAAAATGTAATGTTACATTTCATTAGTTTGTGATGATAAAATACCAAAGGCGATAGAATTGCTATTTAGGAGAATTTACCATGTTTATATGGACAACTCTTTTATCGTACGGTCTTCTAATCTCAACTTTTTAAGAAGCTTTGCTTCCTTTGTTTTGGTTTTCACATGCCTTATATTATCACTTAAACTTTTTCGCTAATGCTACAAAATTCGATGTTAGAATAATCCAGGTTCATCGACCGTGACAAAATCTTGACGGCTAACCTTGCCCTTTTACAAGGTTTTATCATCCACACATGGTGTCATTTATTTTGGAAAGCACTTTCGGTTTCCTCAATACTTTCTGTTTCGCAGATATTCTGTTATTCATGTTATTCACCATTCGCCGAATTATGGGAAGTGAAAAACAGAAAATCCACGCTTCCATGCTACTTCCATTGTGTACTTCCATTGTATATAATAGTTAATTACACACAAACGTAACAAACAAGTGCAGAAATTTCAATAGTTTGCAACATATTAATGTTTTTTTTTTTTATAGAAAGTAGCAATGTTTATGTACAGAGTTGAGAAACTATTTTCGGAATCATTTGAATTCCGAAATTTAGTTTCGTTGCTTTAGAATTATCTTGTAGGGTGTTTAAAGAGAACAAGTGGTATTTATCTCTCTGTAAAAAACCCATGCACTTATCCTATATACTTGTTTTATATTCTCTGCTAGTTACAAGCTATTTTTAGATTACACTTTGAGTGTTGGCGTTGAGTCATTGAGTGAAGTGAATAATGTACAAAGTACTAATCGTTTTATTTATCTTTTCTGACCCTGGAATCGATTTGGGTTATATTATGTTAATCAGTACTTTAATATTGGTATACTAAGTTGTTTATCTGGTTATTGAAATATAGAAGAAAAAATGTCCTTGTTATAGAAAATAACAATGTTCCCCTAAAAATATCCAATAATAAATGGTTGATCTCTCCACTATTTTCAATCCTTTACAGGCCAAGGAGATTCTCTCCAAAGAGTCCAATGTGCAGGAGGTAAAATGCCCGGTGACAGTGTGCGGAGATGTCCACGGTCAGTTCCACGACCTAATGGAGCTGTTCCGGATAGGCGGCAAGTCCCCGGACACCAACTACCTGTTCATGGGCGACTACGTGGACCGTGGATACTACTCCGTGGAGACCGTGACCCTTCTGGTGGCCCTGAAGGTTCGCTATCGCGAGCGCATTACCATCCTGCGCGGTAACCACGAGTCGCGCCAGATCACACAGGTGTACGGCTTCTACGACGAGTGCCTGCGTAAGTACGGCAATGCCAACGTTTGGAAGTACTTCACGGATCTGTTCGACTACTTGCCACTGACGGCACTCGTCGACGGGCAGATCTTTTGCCTGCACGGCGGCCTCAGTCCCTCGATCGACAGTCTGGATCACATTCGGGCCCTCGACCGCTTGCAGGAGGTTCCGCACGAGGGTCCCATGTGCGATCTGCTCTGGTCCGATCCCGATGACAGGGGTGGCTGGGGAATCTCGCCTCGTGGCGCCGGTTACACCTTTGGCCAGGTGAGTGTTGTCAGCAGGTTGGCTATTTCTCGAAGATATTCTTGACTAACGCTTAACTTGGAATTTGAATCTTTAATCACATTGTTAGTACAAAACATCTGAAGACTTCATTAAATGTACGTTCAATAGCATTTAAAACTATACTGAAACAAAAGTGTGCTGAAAATCGTGAAAATATATTCAAGATATATTTTTTATTACTCCTAATAGGAAATTTTATCTGGGCATGCACTCGATGAAAATCAATAATCAGTAATCGAAATGTACTGCTGATAACACAATCTATGAAAAGACCTTTCGTTATAAATATTTGGCATTCAAAGCGAACAAAATTGTTGTTTTATAGAATAATAAAGTAGTATCGAACTAATATCTAACTAATAAAACACCCAAAATAAGTGTAATAAATCAGATGAATTTCTTTGAGAAAGTGCCAATTGTCCTTGTATGCATTTTGACTAATATTTCGAATTTATTTGTAGGACATTTCGGAAACCTTTAACAACACAAACGGCCTGACACTGGTGTCGCGCGCCCATCAGCTGGTGATGGAGGGCTACAACTGGTGTCACGATCGCAACGTGGTCACAATATTCTCAGCGCCAAACTATTGCTACCGCTGTGGCAACCAAGCGGCTCTTATGGAACTGGATGATTCACTTAAATTTTCATTGTGAGTGGCAATTCGTTTGTGCTGCCTCTAAATGAAGCACGTCTGACTAATCGATTGCCTTTCTTTTAGCCTACAATTTGATCCAGCACCTAGGCGCGGGGAGCCTCATGTTACGCGAAGAACACCCGATTATTTCCTTTAAGCTGGATTGCTCGCACCTACGCAGCTTACATTTACACATATTACATCGCATTATAACAACAAGAAGAACCGAAACAATATATAATATATACAAATCCAACCAGCAGCAACAAAATAAACAAAATGGCAAGTGCTGTCGAAAAAAAACTACCATAAAAAACAACCCAAAACTAAAACCTCGATGCATTTGTTTTGTGGAGATCGTTTTAAACAGAGAGCAGTGGAAGATATTGTAT